GAAACTAAGTTTCCTCTTTTTCTTTCCGCTAATTTTAAAATCATACCGTTTTTTCTTTGAATTTTATTAAATTTTATGTAATGATTTATTATTACTGTATTTATAATCCTTTAACTTTCATCGCGTAATATATTTATCATTTTGCTCATTAACAATGAATTTACTGTAATTATATAATTTCTTTCTTTTATATTATTGACAACTGTCAATTATTTATTGTCCAAAACTTACCAATTTATTTGTTCTGCATATAGAAATATCGAGATCCAAATAGTTCCAGCTTTCTTTTGTTATCATATTAGATTGGAAATTTAAATCTCTGTTGTGTTTTATATGCGTTTTATTTTGTATCTAGTCTTATATTTTTCGGAAAACTGGAACGTTAATCAGTCTAGATTAGCTTTTCCGGTGAATATGTATCATCATGCATTCCTTTCATTATCGGTAGCCTTTATTCCAAAAATTTTTCCTATTTCTCCTAATGCATATTAATAATTCCGGAATTAGGTATGTTTAGTCCTAAAAAAAAGGAAAAACAAAAAATTTAATTAATTTGCAAAATTTTATTTGAAATGTTTTTGTTTTCATTGAAATAATATTTTTCTAATTTCCAGCTGTTATTTCATTTTATGTTTCATTTTGCCTTCGGCTATAGATTTTCAAGCCTTTTTAGCAATTACTTTTTGCAAATATATATATGTGTAGGAACAATAATTATAGATCACTTTCACATAATTTACGCTGTCAATATAATCAAGCAACGCTACGTTTACTTGTGTACTTCTCGTAGGCTCTCTGCCATTTTTCACGGGTTTACTTTTCTTAATGTTATTTCATTTTAATTACTACTACCAGTTATTTCAAGTGCTATGCCAACATTGGAATAACCTGTTTTTATCAATCATTATTATCAATTATTTCATCCATATTCTGCTCCTCACTGTCAGAAGCCATCAACTTGAAACTTTACAAATTTCAAGTTGAAGGATAAAAATTTTTTTTTCGTATTAAATGTTTCGCCGCAAATTAATTAGTCTATCTTCCATCAATAATATTCAGTTGACTTATAAAAATTAATTTCTTCTCATATCCTTAAAAATAAGAAATTGGCTAACTTCCCGTTGATATTATTGATATTTTTGTGATAGTGAAATATTTATGATCTTTTAAATCTCCTGATCGCAAAAATTTTCAACGTTTCCCATTCAATAAATTAATAGTTTGTGATTATCACGTATTATAAATTGTTAAATAATTTCTTTTGTTTAAAATTAATTATCACATCCATCTTTTCTACTTTACATTTGCATTTTTGTTTCATCTTTTTACGCTAAAAAGGCGCTTATAATTTAAATAAATATTGCAATTATTTTCTTTAATTTTTAATAATACTTTAATATAATAATAATAAATTGTAATACTTAAATTTGTTTAAGACATTATTCCATGTGCTATCATCAATGTGCTACATCGATGTACTACAAGTCTGATTTAAAATGATGAAAAGTGTAAAAATTTGATAAAGCTCAAAGGTTAATATTTGAAAAGGTTAATATTAAACTAACAACAAATTTGAAGATGGAAAGAATGAAAGTAAAAGGAATTTAAATTTCAAAATTAAACGTGCATTGACAAGTTCATACTTATGTCAAACTTCGCATACAATTAGCGGAAGAGAAATATTACCAGAAAACAACGGACAGATATTTGATTTGATTAGGCAAATACTTAAATTCGGATTCAAAACTGAAAGTAACTAATTAATGAATGTAAATTTCTAAAGAATGAAATGCTAGAATGATATATTCGCAGCATTTTCTTTATTGAAATCTTTGAATTTATGCTGTAAGTTAATTTCAATTTGTACTTAAAATTAATTAAATTCAATTAATGTTTTTATTCATCGTTTAAAGCTTGCAAAAAAAAAGTGTCGAATTACTTACGGTAAGCGTAATGATAATTAGCGTACTTTTTAAAACTATTTGAATACAATTTTTCTGATACTTAAAAATTGATAAATAGGTTGTTGTTTAAATAGGTTAACTTTGAAAAGGTTAATATTAAACTAACAATAAATTTGAAGATGGGAAGAATGAAAGTAAAAAGAATTTAAATTTCAAAATTAGAGATACGAAGAAATAGCAAACAGTGGCAATTATTTTAATAATAATAATAATAATAATAGCAATAATAACATCAATGACAATAATAACAAGTTGTAGTGATAGAGATCTTTAAATTTTTATTGTATTATTAACGGAATTAAACTTCTTTTAACGTTGTATTGAATTCACTAGAATTTTAATGTTGCAATTCCACACACTATCAACAATGATGACTGATCGCTTGAATGCGAACTATGCTCATTCCATTAGCGTTGAAGTTCGGAAGAATGTTGAAAAAAGTGAACAAAGCATTCGAACTGAATTAATTTACAATGAAATTAAAATCAAATAATATACGGATAACCAATGGAATTAATTATAGTTAATTACGTTGTTTGATAAGATTTTATCAATCATTGGATAACATAAATAAAATTATTCTATTATAACATCTATCTGATCCTTTAATTCATATGATTGATTAAAAATGATACTTCGAAATTCTATTAAAAGGTATGTATAAAATAAAAATTTAGGTTATTATTGTTGTTGAAAATTTAGGTTAAAATCAAATAATATATGGATAACCAATGGAATTAATTATAGTTAATTAATTATAGTTAATTATAGTTACTCCTTTAATTACAGTTATTATTGTTATTGAAAATAATGATAGCGATGTAAATAATTATAAGATAATCGTTATAGTATGGTTAAATGATAAGAATGATTGTAATTGTATAAGGTTAGACTGAAGAAAGTCTTTCAATCATTTTGACTAAAATATCTATAATAAATGATCAGAAGAAGATGGAAATATTGCATAAGTAAGAGGGCGGTTGTAAAGTAAAAATTAATTAATGATAAGTTGATATGAATTTGATATATTTAAAGTTGCTGTATTTGTATATCTGCGAGTTACTTATAGTTACATTATGCAAATTGAGCATTGATTTAGTAATTTGATTGGATTATACTGCAAAATATTTTAGCAATTCCATAATTTTGCTATGGATTAATAAAATTTCAATTACTGAGATTATTTTATCGTATCGACGATGGATTTAATAATTAAATGATTTTTGTTTTGCTATGTGTTTGATAAGAAGTTATGTTCTTAATTAATATTATTACTCAATTGATTATATATTTATTGAATTGATTAAATGATGAATTTAGAGAATTAAGCAATTTATTAATGGTATTGTAAAATAGATTTCGTGTATTCTAAATTTAATAAAATATTAATTTAATAGAATACCTGCTAATAATTATAAGTTGATATCATTTCAGCAATTTTATTAGCGTGAAATATTCGAAGAAAATGACCAGAAATTTTATTGAAATCAAAGATTCATCGGAAATGAACAAGAAGAAAAGGAAAAACAAAATATTATGATATAGTAATTACTGTGAAATGTCGAAAATTCAACTTTCAATAATTTTTCATATGTATTATACTACAAATTTGAAAACTAATCCTATTGCAATTTTTCCAATTGAAATAGAAATAAATTCAATAAATTTTCAATATAAATCATATGCATTATACTACACAGGTAAATAATGATGATAAGAGGAGATCTGGAGGAGATGGCTAAACGAAATAGAGGATGATGTAGGCTTAAGTTATCACTGAGCACATTCATTATCACTGCAAAGTATAATCAGACAAGTTCATTTGTCGCAAGCTCAAAATAAGATTTTTGCATCGTTGAGGTATATAATGGACAAGTAGAAGAATCAGAAAATCATTAAGTTATAATATAATATGAATTATGAGGGAATCAATCCATACATCCTTCGGAAATACTATTCAATAATTTCAGAATATGTCACAAAATTATAATCTTATTTATTGGCTAATCAAGAATTTAAACCTTAGAAATATTATGTCCATTGATACGTATTTTTTATCAACCGGATATTATCATCGCAATGGTATGGCTAATTCTGATCAACATCTGGATTATTACTGTTTTCCCATTTAGATTATTATTGGTTGTATTATTTTAATAATTATTTTAATTTTCATTACAAAAATTTTTTAATAATTTTTGACAATTATTTTAATAATTATTTTAATTGTATATTTATTATTATAATTATTTCGAATGTATCCTTAATTTTATTCCGATAATGCAATCGGTTACTTCCATTCATAATTATCCATTCATAATTAATTAATGAATAAAAAAAATTTTCAAATGCAACACATTTAATTCAAATGCAATTATTTATTTCATTACAAAAAATTATTTGGAAAAAATCCGATCGCACTGAGATTATTTAATTTCTTCACTTTCAAAATTATGATATATTCATATATACAACCACATTTATTATACATTTCTAAAAGGATAATGATTGGAACGAAATTTAAAAATCATCGAATGAACACTTTCTTTAAATTAATAACAAAAAGGAAACCGTAAAGTAATTAAAATAATTGTATAAATATGCAACAATGAATTAACTTTTGTACAGAATTATTAAATGTTTTCAATTCAAAGATCACAAAACTTTGATTTACTTATGTTTAAATTTTATTCTCTCATAGCCAAATATCCTCTTCCGCTTCCCGTTCATTTTCACGCAAATAATTTGCGCAATAATTTATAATCAATAATTTATATTTATGATGGGATTTTTGCAAAATAGTAATAATAATAATAATGATGATAATGTTGTATGCATACAAAAAACTTATAAAATATCGATTCTTCCAGAAAACGAAATTTTTTTCCTCTTCATATAAATTTCAAACTTTTATAATGAAATTATAAATATGAAAGAAATAGTCTTCCAAATTTACTACCAAAAATGAAATTTTATTAAATCAGTTTCTTAATAAATTGTCATTAAATAGGAATAACTATAATTTCATTTTCCATTTCATTTCAAGCTTCTCTCCTTTATAGCATTCGCGATAAACGTTTTCGCTGTTTTTTCATCGCGTTGAGTTTTCGACGCTGCAGAAAATAATGGTTATGAACAAATTAGAATTTCATATATCTTTCAATTCTTAATTGATAATATAGGAAATTTTATAATTTTAGTTGCAAAAATTACCTATTAAATATCATATTTTAGCATCAAATATTGTTTATTAAACTTTTTTTTAAAAAAATAATTCTTAATTTTCATCCAACTATGATAATAAAAATAGTTAATTTTTCTAGATAAAAAAAAACAAAACATATGATATATGCGGAAATTTCGACATTTGTTCAACGAATTTCAACGATATCATTAAAATTATAATTAATTGAATTTTGGAATTGCAAAAGAAAAAAAACAGATATATAAAAAAAGGTATACCATCTTCAACCAATAACAATAAAAATCATATCAGCACTATAGTGAGATATTTATCAAAATGATAAAGAAAGATTTATGAGATAAAAAACATGCCATAATCTCGCAGGTAAGTTGTAACTCAAGATACTGTAACATTTGAATATTGTAATCTTGAATGAGAAACCATTCCTGTTGAAGCAATAGTACTAGCTCATTCTCAATACGAAGTGCATCCATGTGAAGTTGTCGACTTTGTTGCAAAAGTCGTGCTTCCTTACGGCGAAAATCGAATCGTTTTGGACTACGTTCACCAGCCATTCTTCCTTTTCCTGACTATTCTTATAATCATTGTTATCTCATAAATTATTCCCGAAATTTCCCAATAAATAAAAATTTTGTAATTTAAAAATGAAAATTAGAAAAAGTTAGAAAATCATTTCGAAAAAAGAAGTTACATATTAAAAACACTATAAAATTGATAATATCACTATAAATTATTAATTCTTTTAGTGTAATATATAAACTGAAATGTAATAATTTCAGGTGTATTTTGTTTTCTTTACGTTTATTTACTTAGAAATAATTAAAACACACAATTAACAAATTTTAATTATTTTAAAATGAAAAATTAATGGTAATATCATCACATAATTTAGTGCAAATTGTCAATTAGCATAAACATTAGATATAAGCGTCGTAATTTGCCTATTACTGATATTGGAACTTTGGAATTTTTACAAATATTAATTCAACTATTACTTTTGTATTAATAAATAAAGTTGTGATTTAAATATATAGGTATCAACTCGATCAATTTCAAATTTTCAATAATTTCATACTTTATTTTTAGGATAATCATCCAAAATTTTGTGATATTTAGTAACTGTCAGCAAAAAGTGAAACACTACAGCTGGAAATTATTATCACCTAATCAGTTGATCCTTCGTAAGTTTTAAGCCAAAAAGTTAAATTTCAAATTCCAAAATGTTATTTTGAAATATTCCGATATAAAAGAATTACTCATTCTGCCGTTAAATTATCCCTACTGATAAATTTAATTCAATACTAATTGCACATAATGAAATATCCATTTTTTTCATACCAAGATATTTAATTGGAAAAGATATGAAAATATTATAAACATTTTTTTTTGTAATTTGTTTTCAAAAAGGTTAAAGGTTATCTATATCTATTTCATATATTATAGATATTATCTTCTAATCGCATTACTATAACTTTACATATAAAAATTCTATTAAAAAATTATTGAAGACTTTAGAAAATCACCGTCGACATAGTAAATAATGACAGGAAAAAGTAGAAACAACCACCTACCGGATTAATAACTCGTCGAAATTAGACTATTCTCGGACTAAAACAAATATCGATTGCATGTGAAACAAAAGATCTGAATAAAAAAATTACTGAAAGTTACGGAAAAATTTGCATATTTTGTAAATAGCACTATATTGTGAATTGCAAGTAATGTACAAGAAGATGGATTTAGATGAAAATTTCGATATTGCAATTTGTATCGTTTTGGAAATTTCAGATTTAACTTCAAATTTCAGTTAAATTAAATTCAGAAAAATTAAAATTAGAAATAAAATTTGAACTTAATTTTGGTAATTGTCAGTAGTTCTTAGATTACTTTCAAAAAATCATTATAACTTATGATAGAACAAATCAAGTTAGATCATATTGGATATCATTTGATAGCTCATTTTATTCGCTATATGATAGGATGAAAAATTTACGAATTCCCGAGATATCGTGATAAACGAAACATACGAACAAACGATTGGTTACATGCTGTTATATGTCGTTTAGTTGCTGTGTAGTAGCTGTTGTGGTGTCCCGGCGTAGTCGTTCAACGATCGACAAATGCATTTTGGTTTCTCTTCTAAGGGGATGCTATGGTTGTTCAATTAACCGGATCAGTAGTACAATACGGAATTAATGAGATTGCTCTTTCAGGCGAAATTTTTTTTCTCCCAACGATAAGATTTCGATTATGATCCCTTGTGAATTCTATCAAATTATGGTTGTTTTTTTCTTCGTTCAGAATTGCTGCAATTTGTTGCAATAAATACTACATCGGATAACAACAACAATTGTAACACTTATGCTGACCGGATTAAGTCACAGTTAAAGTTTCTATAAAATCCGGAAAAACCTACACATAAGCAAACGTATTATCCGATATAAAGTGGAAAAATGATTTCGATTAAGCAAAGATTTTGTTGTAATTTTGCCCTCATTTGTTTTCATTTCATTCTTTCAATTTTCAAGAATATTATTCGAAAATTTAAATCTTTTAAAAATTTCATAAACAAAGCAATTGCAACTGACGAATATCGACATTTCCGAGATTATTCGTTTATTGAGGTGTTGTTGAAAATGTCCAATCATTTGATGCAAATAACCTTCGATTGATAATATTACTGTAGATTGACTGTAGTTAAATTACCTGATCGAATAGGCCCGTTACATTTATTTATGAACAGTATGCTGATAAAACGATAAAGTTGTCGAGTATTTTAGCTGATTTAAAAAAAAAAAAACACGAATAGCTCAAATAATTATGCTAATAATGGATGTTGACTTTGAATGGTAGAATATTTCGAGATATGTGATCGCCACATCGGATGATTTTCGAATCGCAAAATATTTCAAAATATGTAATCTCCACACCTGGATATAATTTCAATATCACTAATAAGCAATAGCTTTCAAAATTAACTCATTACTGATGTCAATGATTGAATCTAGCTGTCATTATCAAAAAATTAAAAAGACATATAAAACAAATAAAATGTGTGGTATCGAAAATCTATCAGCTGCTTTGCCGATCAAATAATTCAGTTCCATATAGTCTTCGGCAGCTGATTTCTTAGTTGCGCTGAAACTTCTGGCAGCAATATTCTCCAACACATAACCAAATGGTCGCCACTATTCTGTATATGTAAAGAAGATTATCATAGTGTGGAAAAGATATCAGCGGATAGGGCGGTAAAATCGAAGTATGACAGAATCTCCTCCAAATCTATGCTCTAATTGTATCCCTCAAGAATGAAAGATATGCATATTAAGCCAAAGAATACAGGTCAATTTTGAAAAACTGAAGAAGAACAAACACTGCATTCTATCATATCCGGTTTTTTTGATTTCACGATATTGCTGTAATTTCATTTAATTTCATGATAGCTTCCAGAAGAAAAAGGATAAACATTCATTTCACACTTCATTTAAACGATGCTTATGAATTTATTATGCTAACATTCAAACTTTTGTTACTCTTTTGCGATATATGTCGAGTAGAAGAATGTCATCAGATTTAAAATATCGCCATTCACACTTCCCATTTTATCAATATATTAGCAGTCTTCATCATTCAGATTACAACCAATAAGCTATTATTGAAAATTCAAATTTGAAGAAATATATTACTGATAATATAGATGATATACGACAGTTGAAAAATTATAATTGAAAGAAGAAAGTCGTTAAAAAATCTACAGAAAGGTTAGTAAAAGTTCCAATAATGAAAATTAAATTTGAAATAGAAATTTGGGCTATACGGTGAATACAATAACATGACAGCCGGCTTTTTAGACGAAATCATTTAGTATATGTGAAAATATCTGGAATCATTTTAGTTTTTCTCGAAAATTAATCTGTAATTCTATACGTTATATGAATACCTCATCATTAATAGAAATATTAAATTATCAGACATTACAAACGGCTCAAAGGGACATGATTATTTCTTACTAATAATTTTAAAATTATGAAACAGGAATAAATTATGGAAGGAGATAGAGATGATCGGTGAAATTTTTGAAAAATCATTTTTTGTTAGTATTTCTAATCACTTAGGGAAATTTCAACAAAATTCTATTCGTTAGAGAATTTAAAATTCTCAAAATATTGTGTAAATGCTACCTTTGACATCGTATATTATTAATTTATGAAATCATATTGTTTATTATTAAATTTCATTCAGTAAATTTTTACAGAATAAAACTTACGCGTATTATTTCTTCCTTTTTAACCAATAATGCTATTCATAATTTATTTAGCATGCATACCTTTCAATAGTTTAATTTATATAATTCATTACATGATATCGTATATTATTATTCGATGAAATCATACAAACTAATTATATAATTCATTACATATATACTGAATTTAATTTCAACATTAAAAGATATCCCCATTTTATCCCATAATATACCGATATAGCAAAAAACTTATTGATTAAATAATATTAATTAATATTAAAATGTAATGAAATTACTCATTTAAAATTTTTGTTGCTATATTGGCATATTTAAATTTTGGTTGGAAAAAATTTTAGAAAAATATTGAAAAACAAGTAAAATTGAAAATTTCATTTATGATATTTAATCGATTTGATTATTATAAAATAAATAAAAAAAAGAAATGATCATTATCGGTATGAGTTTATCATTATCATTGCTAATATTATAATTGTTGAAAAAGTATTGCTTTCAAAAAAATCTTTTAAGATTATCAAATTAACACAACAGAAAGATTAATAAAGATTAATTTCTGATTGCTAGAAATACTAATACTTAAATTAATATGAAAGATTAATATGAATTAATTCCCGGAATATCGATCCTTTATCTTTTCCTTCTTTTTCGTTCATTACAATTTCGTCTTTTCATCAAATGAATAAGTGAATGAGTGAATAACGAATGAATGATAGGATGAATGAGTGAATGAATGAATGAATAATTGGAATGAGGGAATGAATGAATGATGATGGATTGAGTGTGATTGAATCAATGATAGGGAATGAATGAATAAATGGTGGAATGAAGGAGTGAAAAACTATAAAACAAGGGAATAAGGAAAAAAAATAGAGTGGAAGGACGTTTAATAAATCATACGGTAGCTTAAATCATTCGATCCCTTATCAATTCTTTTACTTGTTAATTCATTTAATCCTTTCATTCGCTTCTTCATGAATTTCCAGGTCTTAAAAATCGATCCTTTCATATCACTATATTAGTTATTGGCCTTACTTTACGGACCAGTTTAGTTCGTTTGGTCTCTTGTTTACTACTTTGCAGGCGCAAAATGGATAACCACTAATGCGCTCTGCTATTTATTCAATTTCGTACTGTGCATATCGCGTTTATATCAATGTTTCTGTGTGTTTGTATATCGGCGTCTGCGTACACTAACATGTGTGTGTGTGTGTGTGTGTCTTTTATGTGTGTGTGTGTGTGTGTGAGAGAAATGAATGTATATAAGTATGTATGTGCATATGGGTAAGAAATTGG